TAGCATTTGCTCTTAACAATATTAAATATAGGCCCAATTAGAACGACATAATGATATCTAATAAATAAAAATATACATATTTTTTTATACATAATATCTACGATTATCTACAAATTAATTTTAATATCTTTTTATGACGATTTATTTTAATAAATTAATTTACTTTTTTATTAAATAAAAATAAATTGACAAGTACAGTTGGTGTATTAACATAAATTGACAGTCAATTCACAATATACATCAAATAATACAGACGAACGCGGACACACTGACAGAACTTATGAGAACTTATGCTAAAAAATACAGCATGATAAGGATATACTGCTGTCAAGTTCACGAATAACAAATTTGTGAGGTGCATCATAACTGTTACTTGTATTGTAACATGTAAAGTTAGTAGGAACGTTACAGTATGAGGGAAAAATGACAAGGTAATATCACCCTTTATGGAATTCCAAACAATTTCTGCATGTACCACAGAAAGCCGCTATCGGGCCATCAAAAGACATATTAATAAATAGTATTTTTTTCTAATATTTCAGGCATTACTTTATTACCAACCCATCAAATTAATTTCTTGTAATTTCGCGCCAATAAACGATGGCGCAATACATGCTGCCCCTCTCGAAGCCATGAGGTCGTCAAACATACTGTCAGGAACATAGACACAGAAAAGTAAAACTGGACAGATTTGTATGTAAGAAACAAATCGTTGCCTCCAGTAACGGCTACTTCAATAATCAAACTTTTATTATTCAGATTATAATTACCTTTTACTAGAGATTGAGAATCGAAACTGGCCGTAAAAGGTAAGGATAATCTGGTTCCGTGACTTAGCAATAGTTGTATATTAACAACTATCTAAATAATAAAAAATATCTAGGTAACGAGGTGTCGATTCTGGCATGATTCTCTAAACTTAAAACTACATTTAGCATCAGTCTCTGCTTTTCATTTTATAAAGAGAACTAGCGGCCGCCTGCGACTTCGTACACGTGGAGTTAGTTAGAAATAAACGTTCACGGCTCGTTCCCCGTAGGTGATAGCATGATAATATGTAGCCTATAATAGGCTAGTTGACCCTTTTTGGAAAAAGGTTTTAAATGGTTAATAAATGTTCTATTAGACCGAAAAAAAATGTATTGTATTTTTTTAAACCTAGAAAGCTACAAATCTTTAATTTTAAAATAGACTTTTCATGGACATACAAAAACGCTGTCGGCCATTTTAGTCTATAGATTGTCTATGTTATGACGTGAACTGTGGTAAACAAAAACTCGTAAACACGTAGAAAATTACTTTTAACTGAGTTTATAATAAAAAAAACATGACTTCTAATATATACCACGAAAAATAAAGTAATTATCATTACTGTATTGTACGAGAATATAAAAACACATCCTTGAAGACTCCAGGAAAGTTGTGGATTAAAGTGCCGAAAAAAAAAACCTACGCAACTTTATTACACTTATTCATATGTTATATCAGTTTTATGTTTATTACTACATTGTAATACTAAATGCACTGAACTTACATAGATGCCTTGTCGTTTCTCTGCTCCGAAGAGCAGAAATCGGGGTTTAGTGCAACAAATTCACCAACCATCAATGCGTCAATTCTTGGCAGATTTGTGCTTTCTGCTTTCACAAAGCCGGCATCCATAATTTGTTTAGTCAAAAAAAACTAAGTTTACTGTTTTTTTCTTTCCTAAAGTTAAAAGTGTTTTAAGATAAATTTAGTCAGACGAAAGAATCCACCTACAGTAACACGCGAATGACATTTAGTTGTTTACCACAAGAGACGTCAAAATCATGGCGAAAGTGGCGAACAGCGTTTTTAGTGTTTAAAAAATATAGACTAAAAAATATTTTTTAAAATTAAATTTCTACAGCAATCTTCTGCTTTTATGAAGTGAAATCGATATATTAAGGTTCCTTAGACTAAACACTTTAAGAAATAAATATTTATTTAATACAATTCGACATGAGTAAACTAGCCTATTATGTTGACCCGACTTCTTAATAATATTCGTGCCAAAGAAGTAAATCCATGCAGTACTTTTTCGTTTATCACAAACAGAAAAACAGACAAAAATTCTAAAAACTATGTTTTTGGCTTCGGTATCGATTGTAATCCCAATTATTATTTTTTCCCGTTGGGCGGATAATGCGTAGAGCATTTTCCAGACATTTAAAAAAAAGTTCAATTAATACCGCCGCGGAATGGAAAGGATCTGAAGTGTCAATTTCGCCTAGTTACGCGATGAGGCGCGCGATTTCGCGGGAATACTCGAAAATTCTCGCGACTGATTCTTGAGGAGCATCCAGCTGTTTAGTGTTGACCCTGTCTCGTAAAGGTAAGACACCGCACCACCGATGCACCAGGATTCCCCGGAAGACACAAGACCATATTTTTGGTTCGTATTAATTGTATAAATTGAGCCTAAGTGTTTTTTTTTTTATGTGTAACATCTTTCCTCTCGCTTTCCTGCAATTTGTGGGAGTGATTTCGTGGAATGCGACGGAAGTGTATAACAGTAAGGCGCGAAAGCACGCGCTATTTGATTTGATTTTAGAACATAATGTTCAAATGGCTTATTCCTTTTGTAGTAGGTTTTATTTATTTCTTTACTAATATAAGGTGAGGTTTCTAATGTTACACTACTGTAAGGCTCGATCGTTTTTTGGTAGATCCCACCGTTATCATTTATTTTTTGTTATGACAAGTTCGTATGTATATTGTGAATTGTACCCTTTGACTTAGTCCAAATAATAAACTAGCTACGTGCCCAATTACATCCACATCCGTTCAGGTCTTGTGCGTGACTGATTATTAACAAACATTCAACTGACAAACTTTCAAAAAGTTTAACGCACTCACGGAAATGCATTCGCTTTTATAGGCGTGAAAAGACCTTGTAGTTCTGTTTCTCTATCTTCTAAAAACGAATTCAAATACAGTGGACACTTTTGACTTCTTCGTAGATTGAGATAGTGTTCTCAATTTCGAATAGGTAGACCATGAACTAAACTTTTCCACTACAATTAGAATGGCCTTGACTACAGATGAAAATATTACTAAAGACGAACCACGATAATTTTGTAGAGTTAATAATCTGGTCACACCAGAAAAACTTGATCTGGCAGTCCTTTTAAGACGTCATTCAAAAATATCATAGGTAGGTATGTCATTTTTGTAAATAATTTTTGGAAATTATTTGTTTTTAGAGTGAATAGTAGAGAGAAAATTTAAGTCGGAGAAGTTATTTATAAAATAATAAGTCATAATAAATCTGCAAAAGAACAAATGGAGTCGGTTTTTATGGAAAAAGAGCAATGTTATGAATAAATCCTAACCTCAACGAGTAAGTTCAATTAATTTCTGGATACTAATTTGTTTTTGTATTGCTATTTTTTATTTACATTTCAAGATTTTTTTAACCTTTAATAAGCCAAAAATCCAAAATTGCATCGACTTACTATGTATGGCATGCTAGGAGCAATTATTTGCTCGTAGCTAGAATGCATAATCTGTTTTATATTTTTTTTAAAAAAACGAAACCGAATAAATGGTCTATACTGTACTAATTCAAGAGTTTTCTCGTTTCGTCTCGCAAAGTGCTCGACAGATCTTCACCTAATTAATATGGGAACATCAAAATAACATGGCCAAGCGAGTCTAGTATCGCTCTATTACGGTTCCCTGCAGTGAAATAATCCTGTTATTAAAGCTACGTAATCATTGAGTTATGAAATAGTTCGTTTACGAGCTCTAGTGATATCTAAAGCGCAGTTCGCAATATACCGCGAAAGGAAAAATCATTTGTTTGTTTTTGTCACAACTTACAAAGTACGTTATAAATCGGCGTTTTCAGTATTTGTTGTTTAAATACAGATTTGAAATTGAAGTTTTGGTATGTGATGTGCATAAATCACATTAAAAATAATGAAATTGAATTTTGAACTAAAAAATCTGCATTGGGCACAAACATTGCACATAAAATGCCAAAATTTCAGTTCTGTAACTTATTCTGTTTAAGATCTATAGACCCGTGACATACGGACTACAGAATGTCATCAATAGGGCTCCGCTCTTACCCTTTGAGTACGGAACCCTAAAACTGAATCATCGAAATCGGCCCATAAATGTGCGAACAACAATTTATATACATATATAATTAAGAACCTCCTCCTTTTTAAGTCTGTTAATAATCAAGTATAAGGGAAATTTAATCTAACGACAATCAGTACTGCCATATCCAAAGTTTTAATTTTTGCTACTGTCAGTCCACTGCAGACTTATCGTGTTTCGACTGTAGTCTCGACACTATTTATTTATTACAGTATTATATATGTTGGCTTACAAAAGGACCCAATACGCCGGAAAACTATTAACCAACAACGTACAACACATTATAGTATGAAATACGAATTACATTTCGTTTGAAAACCAGGTTTGTCTAGTTTTCCTTGATACCAGCGCAGTCTAGCGGAAACTATTGCGTTTCTGTCAAATAACTTTAAAGGGGGACATCTTTTTTGACAGACAAAACTTGTTAGCCATTCTGTATTCAGATATAAATAGCAGAAGAAAGTAAATTATTACTATGTAAACACAATCAAGTACTAGGGCGGGTAGTTGCCACATTTTTTAACATGTTACACAAAATGATATACAAAAATCTATTTTCTTTCAATTAAGATTAAGTTACGTTACTACAGTACAATAAGCGCCACAAGTTTGGACTTAGAGTTGTGTTTCAAATATGAAAATTGTTGTCTGCTTCACCAAGTTGTATAATTTTTAATAGGTAAATACTTAAATAAAACTAGTTTTTACGGGTTAATGCACGAAACTTTATTTATTTATTGACGTTTCGTAGCCTTTACAGGCTTCGTCGTCAGAATGACGACGAAGCCGTTGGACACGCGGAATACGGTTGCCCGCTTCTTCTCTAAAGTGTGTGTACACCTTATCATTTTGTTTGTTGTAGCTCTATTCTACGGTAAAAAAATTTCAACCGAAAAAAGAACTTCCCGATATTTTTTTCCCGCGTACCGCTTCAACAAAGCGCGGCATCTCTTCAGTCTCAGGTCCATTAGACGAGCATTCAAACGATGTCCTGTTTTTCTTCGATATGCCCGAAACTTCAAGTCTGCATTTAACACCCTTTTCCCGGTGGTTCTGCTTAACCCCATCTGAAGGGCCAACAGTTTCTGCTTACGTTTGGGATTTCTTTGAATTCGCGCCTTCTCAGCTTTTATCACTGCTGGCGTCCTAACAGACCGAGGGCGACCACTTCTTGACCTGTCATCTACACTAGAGTCTTCATTGTATCGTTTGATGGTACGATAAACGAATCTTTTAGTTATATTCAAATTTTTCAGTATGTCAAAAATTTGAATTGGCGTGTAACCGCAACGATGCAACGCAATAACTGCAACACGGTCTTCTTTAAGCATCCACTAAATATTTAAAAATGAGTAAAATTCTAAAAAGTATACATTTTTATTTTCATGAACAATTCTAAATTCGAATTCAATAAACTTTTTTGTGGCCAGCATTCTAAAAGAAAAGTTTTTACTGTGTGACAATACTTATAACCTGACTGTGTATAGTATAAAAACAGATAGTAGTCTCGTTAAAAAATAATGGCATTCAAATACATCGATTTGTGCAACATGATAAAATGAATAGTCTCTCATATTTCCGTGCCACCAATAATTGAATAGAAAACTTAGTTAAAACTTTATAAAGCGTGTTTACTTAATTTAAATTGCATCATTATTGTAAAATTGAAAATTAAAAGGATAATTCAAGCCGAAGTTTGTCGTTTGAATGGTAACATTTTAAGGTGTAAAGAACAGCGATTTTAACCTTATTTCTTAGTGTATCTTTAATACACTCAGAAATAAGGTTGAAAATCTATACCGTTTACAGTTCCGGTTTATTATTTTTTTAGTAGACCCTCGCAATTTCGCAAGATTCTAGGTCAAATAGTCTAACGACAAATCTTGGTCAGTTTACAAAATAAAATTTATACCCACCTTATATATAAACAGTCTAAAAGTCTTTTAATAAATTAGAATATAAATATTTAAAAGATTTTTTAAAGTCAACAAAGATTTGATGCTTCAACAAATAACTAAATAAACGATTAAAGACACTATTCTACCTCTACTTTATACAAGAATAAATATCTAGATATCCTTTACATAGGTACACTTAAGACGACGCAGTAGAGTTCAAATTATTACGAACAGTATTAAGATTACCACTAGAAGGCCGACTAGAACCAGGATCGCGAGCCATTGGCGCCGATCTGTAAGAAAAATCGACCAATCACTACTACGAACGAAAAAAATTTTTTTTTAAAGACTTGCATCTCGATCATAAACATAAAGAACTAAGAGCTCCTTAATCAACTGTAACTATAAGCATAGGCAGGCATAGAGAATGTGCGCCTTCTCTGTGATATGTATTATAGTGTAATAGAGACGATGCAATAGGGAAGCTAATAGCCTTCGCATTGGTTGTTTTTTCTGATGATGAGAGTTGACAATAGAGAATGCAAAGGGTCAAAATGTTACACTTCAATATACCTAACATCAAGGTATAAACTATATGTTATATTAGTTTTTATTTTATGTAAATACATGCAATATTAACGAAGTTATGACTGCGAGAAGTTTACGCCCTATTTCCGAGATTATCGCACCCCCTGCGTTTATGTCACTTGTCCCCAGGAGTGCGTTCAATACCTACGCTCTTAAGTGCAATATCTTTTTATTTTGACATTAAATGTATGAAGCTTATGTCAACTTTGACATTTATGTACCTAGAGCGTAGGTTTTGAACACAGACCATTGCCGGACACAACGAGTGACGTCATAGCATTTAAAATCGCGGGCCGCCCGCGTTTTTTGAATAATATCGTGCAAAAATGCATATTTTAAACCTAATTTTCTCTGCCATGTTCAAAGATAGAAAAAAAGGAAAAATACAGTTCTAATGTTTTGTAGATTACTTTGGCATTTTGGCAAAAAACTTTGTCATCTATATTCTCGCTATCTATGAGTAAAAGTAAAGCTCAGAACAAGAACTGAAGCATAGAAGGATTTTAAATGCATCTTACAAAGTCGACTCATATAGATATCTTATTTTTACATATAGACCAAAAAAGGGACAAATATATGTTGCTATAAACCATACTATAAATAGCGTGCGTACCGCTATAAAAATTACAAATTGAATACCTTTGTATGGCTTGTGGATACCTGGTTACCTTTACGATACCGAACCAAAAAGCGATCTCATGTCATATGCCAACACGCCACTTATACGCTCAAAGGTCATAGCATTCTTTCTATTATGCTTTAGTTTTTGGTCTGAGAACAAAAGTAGTGTCAAAGAGATGAGACTAAGGGCGCTTGTTAACGAGCCGATTTCTATCCGGTTCCTACTCGTGCCGGTGCCGGTTAAGCATTTTCACGAGGACGGTTAGTCCCTAACTGACGACCCTACGTTGGACCGTAGCTCCTTAAACAACTGTAACTATAACCATAGACAGGCATAGAGAATGTGCGCCTTCTCTACCTGAGATATATATTATAGTGTCATAGAGACGATGCGACTCACCATAGCCATCGCATTGGTTGTTTTTTTTTTCTGATGATAAGAGAGTTGACAATGGAGAACACAAAAGGGTCAAAATGTCTTCAATATATATACCATCAAGGTATAAACTATATGTTATATTAGTTTTTATTTCATGTAAATACATGCAATATTAACGAAGTTATGACTGCGAGAAGTTTATTGTTATGACTGCGAGTAGGGTCGTCAGTTAGGGGACTATGGTGGTTTGCTAACAATACCGGCGCTAAAGACGGTTTGGGGTCGGTACAAACGTAGAAACCGTGTTCGTGAACAAGCTTAGACGGCACCGGCCTAGGTAGAAATCGCGCTTAGACCCATAGTTCGTCTATGTATTTGCTACTTTTTTCCTTCACAGTTGTTGATATAATTCAATTGTCACTTAGTCGATTTATCTACGTCTATGATCACAACACATTCAAATTTGATATTGGCAGATAACAGCAATTCATTCTTATTGACTCACGAGATGAGTTTATTCCCGAACTAAACAGAGCATGTACTATAGTTACATCTATAAAACTTTGATTCGGAAACAGGGATCCAAATCCAAGCATAAACGGTCGTCAACGTCATATGTCTGAATATTCTACTGAAGTTATTCAAATCTCACATCAAAATTCAAAAAGCTATTCGTGTTTCCTATTAGTAAAATTCAGTCTGTCCTTATCATGCTCTGCCCCCCTAGCATGAGCACCGCGATATAATATATAACGCATTTTTATCACGCTAAATTGTCAAATTACTATGGCTATGACAGTTAGACGCGATAAAAAACGTGATATAATGTAAATTGTGGTGCTCATGCTACGGGGACACATCTGAAAAAGACTGATGTCATGTTAACAAATAGCAAACACGAATAGCCAAGTGAAGTGCCGGCATAAGCTACTTACCATTGTTCATATGAAGCACCTTGGCCACCTTTTTTATAGTGGAGTCTAACTTGGAGTCCGTGTTCTCTAGCTCGGTGTTCAAGTCGTCGAGCATCCTGACAAGTACAAACAATTTTAAATGTAAAGAAAAAAATACTGGATATCATTAACATTACATGTCGGTAGCATGATTGGTTAGTGCGTCCCCCGGATCGCTGAGGGAAGGAGCTTTAGTCCCCCCGTCATTAAATTTGAGCCATACAGTGCCAAGTAGCAGTTATTCCGTTACATCTAGTGCATTAGTTTGACGACCTCCGTGGCCGTATTAACACGCCGGGTTTCAAGGTGTACCATCTCGAGAGGTCCCGGGTTCGAATCTCGGTGGGGACAGATGTTTGTGTGATGAATACGAGCATTTGTACTCCAGTAATGGATGTTTAAATGTATTTCTATATAAATATACTTATATATGTATCAGTATATATTCTATCCGTTACCCTAAGTATCTCTTAACACAAGCCTACAGTGCTTACTTTGGGTCTAGGCTAATTGGTGCGAGTGTTAAAAATATTTCAATATTAATTTATTTATATTTATTAGTGAGATTTAGTCCTTTTTTTCTCTCAAACGGGCAACACTGGTTTGTGGTTATAACAGTCAGCACTCACTCAGCTTGCTCGTCGATCTCTATGCCGATCTGGCGGGACACTGTCAGCAGCGAGCCCATGGTGTCGCCTATGGACCGCAGCTGTTCGTCCTGCCCGCGCAGCATCCGCTCCTGCACGCCCATCACGTCGCTGTCGTACTCGAACCTATTCGGACTGGGGCTGTCCGTCTGTGGGTCAAGGTGGGACAATATAAAACCCGACCCAGAACATTTATGTGCAACCGCGGACGGTTGGTATATACGCCGGGTTTCATTGTGTCGCGTACTCGTGAGGTCCAGAATCCCGGTGGGGACAATGTTAGTATAATGAATACGAGCATTTGTACCTTTAGTACCTTAAGTACAGTTTGTCTATAAAGTCGTGACATTATATGATGGCGCCACTAGTATGCATGTAGCAACTCTGTACAGTCTGATCAAATGATTTTGGTACTAGCAGTTCATTCAAGTAAAATAGGTAATTAATAATACACACTATACAGTCGTATTTTGTTTCTGTTTTATATATAGTAGGTACCTATGCTTATAAAAAGTTTAACCAAGCATATTTAATTGAATCAGAATAAAATTATTATAGATAAAATAGTACTTTATAGTGTACAAGTGTGTATGTTGGTGATTACCGCTGAGGTGCCATTGAGACCAGAGGTAATCATCAATACACACAAGTATCATCATGCGACATTTTTTAACACACTTGTTAAGAAAATAATACTAAAAATCATTTTATAGTATATAAAAAGTTTATTTAGAGAAATAATTTGTAAATGTGCAGTTAGTAAAATTAGTGATAGGTATCTACAAGCCATGGTTCTTTATGTGACCATTTCTTTCTTTGGTCGGCCTTGCCTGTTTTCCCAGGAGTTTCAAACTTTCCATCATTCTTAAAACCTTCGTTGACTATCCGACTTTCTGATTTTCCTGAAAAAAAGTAAAAAAATATGTAACGGAATAGAAACAATATCTTATTGACATGAAGCAATTAATTCAAAATTAGTAGAAAACCTGACCTAGTTGAACCATAATAACGTATCAAAAGAAATGGTCGTACTACAATATTACCTATTTACAATGTCAATCTAACCTAAAAATGTGCAATGTAAACAATGCCTTTTTTGGTCTCAAAATCGTAAATTGAGTAAATTTGTAACTTCAGGTAGATTACAAACAAATAGTTACACGATTACAAACCCGTCATAGATGCTGTTCGCCCATAAACATCATCCAAATCCTACAAAATTCGTCCAGCATAAGTAGTCTTCGAAACATCGCTGGAAAACTTTAAAAATCACTTCCCGCGTGCCACTCCGATTTACTTTACTCATTTTTATACCTTTCTGCGTAGTTTCGTCTTAATTTATTACAGTTTAATGCAAACAATAAAAAATACAAAAGGAAAACTGTTCCAAAACTGAAACTCGATGACAGCTAATGTACATAAGTTTGGTGTTGCCAGACACATGAATAATGTTAGTTCCTCAAACATTCATGTCACGACTTTAAAGACAAACTGTATGGATGTTTTTAAATATATTTCTATATAAATATACTTATATAATATCAAATATATGTATTCTACTCGTGTCCCTAACATCCCATAACACAATCCCCCAGTGGCGGACTAAACCCGTCAGAGGCCCGGGGCGGCAAAGCAGAAAGGCCCCCTTTAACAAAAATTAGTTTCTTATGTTTATTTCGTTAAATCTGGCAAGTGAAATTTAATTTAGAATTAAATTATTTCGGCTAAATAAACATACATACCTACAATATTGAATGGATATGGGTGAGAAAATCAAATACGAATCGATCGACAAAAAAATACTAATATAAATCAAAGATAGTTTTTTTATTTTTGGTAGCGATATAAAACGCTGTTTTCGTGCCTTCAATTTACTGAACTCTTCATTAACTTCTGTGATATCGATTTCTTTGGATTTTTTCTATTGAAAGCACGGCTAGATTAATACCAGTCGCTCATGATCCATTGTAGATCGAAGATAATTTTTAATTAGTTTAAGTTTCGAAAAACTCCTCTAGCATGGTGCAACCAAGATGCAAATAGTCAAGAAATATTGAAGTATAAGCAATTTAAAGAGTAACTATTCACTGAAGTCCCATTTTATTATTAATTGAAGGATTTCTTGGGCTCTCCAATGGGCAGCAACGTCCATACTCGTATCGGTGGCTTTTACATGCCTGCGGTACTTTTTTATTTTTTGGGAAACTTGCTCCTTGTCAAATTCATCATTACTTTGTATCAGATTGTCAACTGCTACAGCCAGAGCATCATCTGAAGCTTCTAGCATAAGCTTTGATTTCAATAATTTGGAAAATATTATTGATTTGTTTCATGGCCCCGTATTGTGTCGACATCTTCTATAAATCGATCTATGGATTTATACATTGACCGACGTATTTCTTCTGGAATTGATAATCCAGCATAATGAGCTCGATACTCGGCATCGTTCTTTTTACCTTCCTTCTTCCCCGTTTCTCGATGTTGATGTCCATGTCATTGCATTTTTTTATCACAAAAGTTACAGCATTGTCTACAATGGTGGTTCGTTCGGTCACTAAATACTCATACAAGGCGTTTAATTTGGTGATTCCTATATCAAGAGTCATTTTTGGAGACTGCAAATATTGTTGAATTTATGTTAATTCTTCCAGTACAGATAGCCAGAATTGTATAATAGGTTAGAAAAGTAAAATCACAAACAGCCGGGGCAGGAGCAGGCTTGCTCCTAATGTTGTATCTAGATTTGCTTTTGTTGGATCTTGAAAATGTTTCAAACTACTTACAATTGTCTCTATGTTTTCTTTTACAACTTTTACTGACTCATAATGAGAGCTCCAGCGAGTATCCGATAAACGTTTTATTTTTTTTCCAGTTTTCACTTTCAGCAATTGCCATCTCTCTGTAGATGACGAAAATAACGAATATAATTTCTCTACTGTTCCAAAACACGTGACGCTGGAAGGAACGCATACAAATGCATGAACTCCACAAAGATTCAAGGAATGATTAGAACAAGGACTGAACAGTGCATTTGGATTTACTTTTCGGATTTTTCGTTGCACCCCTCCATGGACACCTGACATTGACGCGGCATTGTGATAACCTGCACAACGCAATATTCAGTCCGTCTTTTTCCAGCTGTTGCTGAATGTCTTTTGACATATCCTCAGTAGTTTTTTCAGACATTAAAAATAAACCCAAGAAAGATTCTCTTACATCTCCACAATGTCATCCTCTATATGAAAGAATTTAATGATTTGACTTAAGAATTTAATTTTACTTTCATCAGGAGTGCTGTCAAAAATGATTCCGTAATATCTGCAATAATTATTTGCCTTACATGATCACCCAAACATTGAATAAATTCATTTGGTATTCCTTTTGGCAAATAAGGTGGTACTCTCTTTGACCCACCAGCAGCCTCTTTTAATAGGCGTAAAAGAGTGAATTATTTGCACTTCATTCATTCAGGGATTCCTGAATAAGTACCCGCTACAAAGACGGGAATTCCTCCAGCGTATTGGACACATTCTGCAAAGGTAAAAGAATAATAGTACCACGTAAAAAGTCTAGATGGCTGTAGTGTGTTGATCTTGATGAAATTATATAGGTAAGCACATTTCTAAAGTCATGTTTAGGATTTGATCAGGGGAACTCGGAGGCATTTGGGGGCCCCCAAGATCGGAGGCCCGGGGCGGGCCGCCCCTTCCGCCCCCCTGTTAGTCCGCCACTGTACACCCTAAAGTAAGCACTGGCTTACTTTAGGGTGTACTTACTTTGGGGCTAGGCTTATTGATGTGTATTTAAAAAAAACGGAAATGTTTCGTTTCGCGATCCCACTCTTTCGCGATCCAATAGGAATTCTTTGCCCGCGCACGTGTTCCTTCCTTTCTTTATTGCCCTTACTATATCGAATTTCTTTATATGAAAAGGGATTCGATGGTGAAAAGGGGGATTACAGGGTGAAAGGGATTCAAAGGTGATAAGGGGATTGATGGGCGATAATAAGGGATTGGTGGGTGATATTACAGATTGATGGGTGATTATAGAAGATTGGTGGGTGATGGTGGGGATTGATGGGTAAAGGAGAGGAGTGGGTCTGGGGTAGGGCTACTATTAAAAAATTTGGAGGGTACTGACAAAAAGCCGGACATATCGATAAAAGTCCGGACATTTTAGTCACAAAATGCAAACATCACCCACTTAGTTACAGTGAAATTATACGCGTGGTAGCAGACGCTCACATCGCAAGGGGGTCTCGTTGTTGATTTTTCAAGGTGATTTCTACTTTGTTTTTAATTAACGCGAATTTAATAAAGATTATTTGACTTATTTGATATAACTTAATAAGTAGTTTTACTCATATTCCACCTAATTATAAAAATCCAGACAAATTAAAAAATCGTTAATATTATTAAAAGTCTGATATTTTTATTTCTCTCAATGTTAGTAAAAACTGATAACTTTAAAAATCTGATACATTGTCTCCCTTCATGTTAGTAAATAAGTTTTATTAAAGAAAAACTTTTTGCTCACTCTACCTAACCAGTTTGAATTGACAGCTATTACGTCACAATATGGCGCCCAGAGGGTCCAATTCTTAGTTGAATCGCATTGTACCTGGTTGGCTAGCTTTGAGTACTTGGTGTACTTGGGCGTGGCCGCCCACGAGTTGCGGAAGTGCACGGGGCTCTCCTCGCCCAGTAGGGGCTCGCGGGCGGTTCCATCGCTATCACGGCTGCGGTTCAGGCTCATCTTGCTTTTCATCACCTGAGTAATGGGATGAGATCCCAAAACAAAGTTAATCAAAAATGGTAGCAGACCTCGGGAAGGGATCGTCACCTTTTTAATTAATTTAATTTAAATTAAATTAATTAAATTTACTTAGTGTGTTGTGTTAATTAATATCGCTCCTCGGCTTGAGTTCAGGTGCTAACATAAATAACAAACACTTCGAAAGAAACACAATACCACCGAAAGGTTGTGTAAAAATGTTTCATAATTTTGTTTACGAATGATAAAACGCGTTTGGACCTAAATATTTTTCATCATGAGGCACAGGGCTTCGCCGTGAATGGAATGGGGACATTGGGCTATTAACCACCACTCGGGCCCAGTGCGCATTGGTGGGTGCTAACGACTGCAGATG